TTGCTGTTGGACTCCTGGTCTTTTTGGCTAACAGTACACCTTCTCCAGCCCTTTTGCCTTGGAAGTTAAACTGAACCATTTGAGACCAGGGCACGTCAAACTGCCACATGTCTTGGAGAGGGTCTTTCTCTTCAGGATGTTGTTGTGCTAGTGGCACACAATTCTGCTGCACGAGAAATGCACACTCCTACCTTACTGAGATTAGAAATTACACTAGGATTTTACTCTTCCCATCCATAATCTGAAAGAACAGAGCAGGTCCTGCCTAATCTAACCCACAGTGTGGCAAGCTATCACGACACTGGCTTAACATTTTGTTAATTTGACATGCGATTAGAAGCTCTGGCAGAGCTAAGAGCCTAGAACATAACAAATAACACTTCTCACATTGCCAGCAAAATATCTGTGTTGAATCTGTATGCGTCTGCTCTCATCTGCCAAAAAAGTGTCATGATACATTCCTCAAAAATACTTTTATGGTCTTTACTCAATCTTGACATTCACTTGTTCTAAAGTTCCTAAGAAAACATTACAGCTCCAAAGGGGGCATCTATGTTTGAGTAAAGCCACACAACGATTTTCAACAGAACTAGCTACATACAGGCACTGTCTGAAGCACTAAGAAACAGACCTCTGGCAACATTTTTTGCAGAGATTCTGCCAAGAGATAAAGACAAGAAACATTTAACTCAAAGAGGTTAATGAAAGAAGTGCTCATAGTATAGCTGAATTCCACTTGACTTTATCACTTCATTGTTCTCCTCTGCTGTTCTCTTTTGTACATTCACCTGCCCACTCCTGCTTGAAACTGAAGAGGGAATCCAGGTGAGCAGATAGTTAATTCTGGCTTTTAAACATGGTCAGTGCATCATTGCTAGATCAACCACCTCTGACCCAAGAGGTAGCAGATGCAGCTGTCACGACACAGGCGAACAATCTTAAACCTTGGAGGCTGCAGCATAATCACTAATTTTTTTGCTTACAGTACCAGCCAACTTAAGGGTGGAGTTCGTAAAAGGCTGTTTAAAAAAATTGTCCCCCTATTTATGCATGTCATTCTTTTCAGAAGCAATTTAATGGGAAAAATACTCTTTAATTATGATTAGAGGCTGACTACTGCAATGCCCATGCCTGTTTATTCAAAAGCAGATGTTCAGCAGTGCAATGTTTCATATGTTATGCTGACAATAGTAAGTTATTAGCAAAACATGGTAAGTAATATCTAAAAAGTCTTTCTGCGAGGTTGCCGAACTATTGGAGTGGGTCAGCAACAAAAGATCAGATGTGACACGTGTTAACATCCCAGAACAATTTATCCTCTACTTGGCCAAACCTCATTTCACTCACTCAGCTGAATGTAATTAGACCTCAAGCTTGTCCTAATTTCAGTCTCTGCAGAAAAGGGGTTATCTTTCTTCAGCAACACAGGGCTGCTCTGAAATCCTGGCAGTGATCTGCAAGGAGAAACTGCAAAGGTACACACCATCTCACAGATTTAGACAAGGAGCTGCTAAGACAGCATGATATGTACATTAAAATGCAAACATGTATGCCATAGCACCTGCTTTGAGTTTCAGTCAATGCACCCAAGCAGAAAGTAGCAAGAACCCAGGACCTACACAGTACATGAGCTATTTTTAGATAAACGTTGCACAATTTTCCCTCTGGCCCATGGATCAGAAACACATGCTGCAGCTAGACCCGTAACAGTTTAATCCTACCCCAAACAAGGAGATAGTAAGTCTTCAGATCCTAATAACAGCTACTGAAGGAGCAAAGCACTATTCAAGTCTTTGCTACGGTTCAGGCTACACAATCTGGCCCAGAGTAAGCTAAACTGCACCTGGCTTTGTGAAAACAAGTTCATTTAATTTTGTCTGACCTTTGTAATAAGGTTCTTGCTATTGGGTGGAAGTAGACAAAAGACTAGACCTACATCCTACGAAATGTATGACTTTTAGATATTGTAGAAAAGATAAGTTAAAGCAAGCTGATTTACTCCTCTATCAAAAGAATATCACAGTGAAACAACGGGAAGGATCTGCCCCAAACCCCTCAAATCAGGGCTTTGAAACAGAAGCTAAGCCACCTTCTTACTTCGCTTAATGGGACAGGAAGATCCTTTAGGAAATAATTTTTCCTTAAAAGGTGTTGAAAATTTAGTGTGATTTTTCTGATGAAGTAGCTTGTGTTCCCCCACTCAAAAATTAAAAAATGGAAGCCACTAACCTAGCTGCATGAGCAATGAGTAGCTGGCAAGTAGAACAAAGCTCTTTATGTCAGAAACAGTACTGACCTCGTACCTAGCAAAAGCCACAGATTTGACTAAACCCTTGCTCCAAGACAGATTTTAGGTTAAAGCTATACAGGAGGCCCTTGGGAAAAAAAAATGCACAATTATCAGTTGCAAGACTAAGGGAAGACACTAATGACTTGTTTGTTCTCAAAGTTTCCTTGATCCAAGTGGCAGTGTTCTCAATACGTAAATAAAGCCTCATGCCAGTTTTTGATTGATTGAGCAGTAGTCAAAGACTCAGGCTACATTTATACACATCTCGGACAAGCCTGGTAGTCACCATCAAGCAACTGACATTACTAGTGCTAAGAGGGTCCTAAGGGCTATATGACTGCAGAGAGCACTGTGCAAAACAGGGAAATACATTTTTTTTAGGATGTGTGAGTATGTTTAAAGAAGTCTACTAAGCCACGTAACGGTTTGGGGTTCTTTAATCATTAAAGTTATACCCAACGCATACTGGACAATTTACATTTGCAAGCAATACATCTCTGCACTTTAGTTACAGCTCAGTCTGCCCACTTTACCAGGACCAGAAAAAGAGCCTACTGCCAAATGGTGAAGGCTTCAGCTCTCCTTCAATGGGTGGATTTGGCTCTGGTCTAGGTCTAGAGTGATAGGCATTCTCAGGCATAGGACGGTCTGTCTTCACTTTTGTAACCTGGAAAGAAAAAAGAAGAAATGATACAACTTCTCACAGCGTTTAATAGAAAAGCTAGATTAAGTCAGAACTTCAAGAAGTATCAAACAACACTAAGGACACATTGTTGATCCAATGAGAGCTCCTATCTCCAGAGTGCTTCTAAAAAAGGGAAGGGAAGGGAACTTCACTCATAACTACAGAGTAGTTCTACATGTGTGTAAGCTTCACTGCTGAAGGAAAGGTCTCTGCACCAGGAAAAGCAAAAAGCAAGAGTAAATGTCATTGTTTAAGAAAAGCACAAGTCTTCTGGGAAAGCAACCCTGGAGAACGCTGACAGAGTCTTGACTTCTATTAAGTCCACAAGCTTCCAGTGTTGAGTTCATGAATCACCTTCTGTCCGGGAGAAGAGTCTGAGACCTGGTCTGGACACAATGTCCATAAGAAGGGAGAGAAGAATCTGGCTATCTGATCAAAAAGGTATGAAGTTACCTTGGAGAGCTCTCCCAGATCAGGTCTCACCCAACCCAACTTTTCCAGCACACAGTTATCAAATACTGCCTGCTGCTTTCGGCATCGACGGAGCTCCTGCAAGTTGGTATAGTCAATGCAGGTCCAGTACTCAGTAAATGGCTCTGCACAGTGCGTCTTAATCTTCCTGTAAGAGATCACAGAAAGAAAATCATTAGCAAGTGTTGTAATTTTAATGCTTTTCTCTCTTACTCATTCAAACCTCAACTTCTGATAAAGTGGGTTTTGCAGTTTTAAGTTCTCGAGAACATGTAAAGTCTTTAGAGAAGTCAGTATTTGAAGCATCGTTAAACAGAACTTGATACCAATACCAGTAAGATTTGTATCATTGTAGCTGCAAGTAGGGATAGCAATAACTTAACTAATATGTGGCAGGTATTCTTGCTAGGTAGATGTACGCAGGTCCTCTGTAGGAGATCCTTGTATGTACACTTAGTGTACATTATACAACGCTCTAATGCTTCCAAATTAATCTGATGTCTTAAGCTCAAGAAAACATGCTTAGAACAGAGGTTTCTGATTACCAGCTGCTATACCAGAAGTGGACATGCTTTGAGCTAATTAACCTAGGTCTTTTACTAGCAACTTAAGAACATGACACTGGCACACACCTTGGATCTATATTTTTGGTCAGTAGAGGCAAATGGTGTATCTACTCGAGCTTTTACAGTAGCACAACCGTGAAACGGAGAGGACAGACAATGCAAAGCTTAGGTCGGTTTCCTGGATTTCACGATATAGCCGCAAGGTGCAGAAGCAGCAAGCCTTCCACCACCTCCCTGCATTCCTTTGCCAACCTAACAAAAACCTGAACCACCTACACCGAAGCAGAGGCCACGAAGCGTCATGTGAAAGAATAAAGTACAAACAAATAAAACAAACAGCACAAGAAGGGGCACAGCCTCTATGCTCAAGAATTAAAGTTTAAGAAGCAACAACAGACTCCGAAGGCCACGGTGGTAGCAGCATTTTTAAACGAAGCGACTGCCAGCGCTCAATAACGAAGCTCAGCAAGGACGCGCTACACCGGGAGATCCCTAGAAACACCTTCACCCTCAGGGCGGACGAGGGCCTCCGCAGCAGCCGGTCTCTCCGCCCGGGCACCCTCCGGGACGCCGGAGACGGCCGGCCGGCCGCCGGGAGAGACTCGCTGGAATCCCCGCTCACCTGAAGAAGTCGAGGGCGCACTGGTTGACCTGTCGGCCCTCCCGCAGGCACTTCCGCGGGTCCTTCTCCTCCCAGCGGCACAGCATGAACTCCTTGTTGGGGCGGTCGCACTGCGCGCCGTAGTGGTGGGCCGCGGCCTTCAGCACGGCCGAGCTGACCGCCACCTACAGAGGGGCAGAGCGGCAATGGGCGCCGGGCCGCCCCGCGGGGGAAGGGAAAGGAAGGGAAGGGCCCGGCGGCGGCGGGCGGGCGGGCGCTCACTCACCTCCTGCACATCGAGCTCCTCCAGGGAGGGCACCTGCAGGGAGCCGGGCATGGCGGCCCCGCTCTCCTTCAGCTCCCCTCAGCGCCCGCCCGCCAGGGCGCATGCGCGGCCGGCAGGGAGGGCGGGAAGGGCGCGTGCGCGGAGGGCGGCGGGAGGTGGAGCCCCGGTAGCGCCGGCGTTGCCATGGCGACGCCGTCGGGCCCGG